TCAGGGTGCAGCTTTCCACTAACTGAACCTTTGTCTGGGGAGCAGCGAGCTGCAGCTGCTGTTCAGGTGTTGCTAATGTCTGTCTGGAAGATCCAGGTTGATGCTGGAAAACAGATGCTATTACATCGAGCTCTGACCTCACCAGGCTGCATGAAAGTGTCAAACAGTTTAGACACTGTCTAATTGCTGGGTGGCGTTTAAGGCATGATGACAGGGTCAGTTTGAGTCAGCTAAGCCCAAACATCTACTATTTAAAACACGAACAGGTTTAAATTGGAAGGCAGCCGGACTTTCACTCAGTTTTCTCTATTTCACTCACTGAGGTCTCCGGTCTAATGCTCCTAAATGTCCAATCATCGAAATTTTGTGGTCCTCTCGTCTTTGATGTTCTTTCAGTTCCTATATTTTTGTAAAGGTCCAAGCCCAGAAAGACATTTAAAGATCATAACTTAGTTTGATTAATACCTCAGCATAAAGTTAATGTTCTGCTCCATCACTGTAGGGTCTGAAAGGGTTACCATCCCAAAAACTCCAGCCCACCATCCAGGGGCGGAGTCAGGAAATTTCGGGCCCTTGGAAAAGTCAGGCAGGAGGCCCTCTGAACTGAGAGAACACACTTATTATAGGTGTTCTGATGGTATTTTAGCAAAAGGGGTTTTAAAATCAAGAACATAATTAATGTGCTCAAATAAGGAATATTTGTATCAACTGTACATGTAAACAGAGCTTTATGAGGCCCCCAGGAACTTGGGACCTTAGGCAACTGCTTAGTTTTGCCTAATGGTAAACCCCTCCCCTGCCACCATTAGCTCCTATAAGGTGTTTGATGCTGGGCTTTAATGAAAACCATCTCTTTTCTGGCCTTATTTGTCCAGAGGACATCATCCCAGACCTCTTCTCCTTCATCAGTAGGTGCAGCTTTGCTAACCTGAGTCCAGCTGCCATCTTGATTTTAGAGAGAGAATGCTTTCTTATTCAACCCTTCCAAAAAGCCAGATAAGTTCAGTGTCATGACCTCTAACCTTTGAACTCCTAGCTGAGAACAATAGAAATGGGTTTCTTAGGTTTTTGGAGGATCTCTAAGGTCAGACATTTGGGCCATGAGTTGTACCCAGAATGAACATGCATACGGAAAATTCATCCATCCATCCATTCATCCATCCATCCGTCCGTCCTTCCATCCATCTGTCCATCCATCCATCCATCCAACCATCTGTCCGTCCTTCCATCCATCTGTCCATCCATCCATCCATCCAACCATCTGTCCGTCCTTCCATCCATCTGTCCATCCATCCATCCATCC